AGTATACACGTCGAATGCGCCCTTCCGCGGTTGAACGGCAGCAATGAGCAGGGACTGGATCAGATCTTGGTAAGGGTGCTGAAAGGAATAGAACGCGACCAACCTCCTCTATGCTCAAAAAGCCTGGCAGTTCAACTGCGGAGCCATAGAGTGCCCGGTCCCAGATTTGGAGCGCGAGGATCTGGTAGCACAGAGCATCAAAGATCCGTTTCTCGGGGAACAGGAACGTCAGCGCATAGCTTTTGCAACGGCGAGGACCCAAAAGACACTCGCCCGAGAGAGAACGAACAAAACACAACAAAGCACGCCCGAGAGAGAACGATAAGACTGGGCGTCTCGCCGCAGCGGGGATCCAGTCACGTGGCTCTCCTCTCATCCGTCGTCTGCCGCTCCACCTTTTCTATTTTGGCGGCCGCTCCTCATGGCGATCTGCCAGGATTTGTCAGTATATAGGAGGCTATGACGCGACGCACGTGAGTAATAGACCGATCTCATTAGGCGTTCCACGCACGCGAGACGCCGCCATAACTGTAGTTGCCGGGAGTCAGGCGATAGTGCACGAGAATGTTTTTGCCGTCTTGTGCTCTCTTCGCGCAGGTTCGCAGAGGGTTTGTAGCGCATGCAGAAAGACTGTAGTTCCCACGATGGCGTGTCGGCAGCGGCGTCATAACGAGACTGGCTGCTGAAATCCGTCTATTGGCGCTCTTGTTCAGTCGCATATGCTGCTAAGAGATTCCCAGTGACTGGAGGCGTGGTTGAGGAACCCGCATCCCGAAGAAAGGCGGCAACAAGCAGCTGCAGCGTGACCACCGACCACTGACCGTCACGGCGATTGCACACAGAGCGTTCGCGAGAGTCATCAATTGGTGCCTCACGCATGGAGGAAGCCGGCGTGCTTATGGAGCTGCATGCACGGGTTTCGAGTTGGCCGTCGCGTATAGGCGACAATTTATTCGCACTGACCCAATGCGTTGACATTGCGCGGGCATAGAGGCTGTCACTGGTATGCTGGTTTTCGACATTGCCGAAGCATACGATTGCGCCACTGATGCAATGCTACTTGTACGGCAGCTTAACATTCCCGGAGCCTGGCTAAGGTTAATCTGGGAGTTTTATGACGACAACCGAGTGACTGCATCCTTCAACGGCCTGAACTCTGGCGAGATTAAAGTTGAAAATGAATTAGGACAGAGATACCCCAATTGACGCTGAGGATATGTATGTTGTATCCGTCTAGCATGAAAAAGAAATAGAAGAAGCAGGCATTGGTTTTTCCCTGGTGCACCGCCAACACGGAAATGTGGTGACGTGGCGTCTGCCCCGATTCGCCTATGCTGACAACCTCGTACAGGCCGTGGAAGACACGAAGCGTGGAAGACACGAAGCGGTTGCTCGTCGCATGTGCCGACAAGTTCGCTACAGTACTTTTCTCCAGCGGGAGGGGCAGCCTCGGATCACTTACCCTACAAGGTGCAGTAATTCCTATTCTCTCCGAGTACAGATACTTTGGAGTAAAGCTGTCTACGACCGACTACCTGGTCGAGCATCACCAGAGCCTCACGACGTCCTCAGTATGGAAGCGAAATGTGCTGCAAAGGCGGAACCGCTGAAGCTGCAACCGATGTGTCGCACCCCCCCCCCCCCCCCCCCCCCCCCCCCCCCTAACTAACGATGACCGTTCGGCACTTGGCTGTAACTCCCACGTTAGTATTTCCTCTTTCGCGAGTCTTCTCTTTCTCCCTATCTGCCCGGGCGGACATTCAGAAACGTTGTCATCTGCGGTCTCAGCGAGTTTCAAGAATCCATCGAGTGCCGCCAAAGGGAGGTCGGTCGTCAAGCCTTGGGAGGCCACGGACGGGCAGCAAATGGACTTTTGGAGGGTGACATCGGCTGGTTTTCATTGGAGGCGCGATAAGCCAGAAAAAAGCTAGGCTGCCACACGCGTCTCCGGTACGTGAATGAAGGCCCTTGGGCTGGGCGTTTTTTTTGTATGCAGAGTGTCCCCTCCAAACATTACACGCTGTTTTTTTTTTAGCGCTAAAATAAAGTACGCGTCGGCGAACGCCCCTTTTCCACCCAAATGCAGCGGCAAGTCGGCAACGCATATTTTATTTTTGATATAAAAATAACAACAGTGTAATCGTTTTTTTTTTTGAGGGGGGGGGGGGGAGGAGGGGGGCACCATGTATGTACATGTCTCAAGAACGTAAATTCGATGGGGGGGAAGTGTGTCACTCGGCTCGGCATAAAGTTTTGGCCATTCTCCTTGGATGTCGAACCCCAATGTGAAGGAGAATGGGCGAGCAAAGTGCAAGAACGAGTACAAGCTGTAGAGAACGAACGCTGGATAAAAGGCATGAGGCAACATATTACCATGGACCTGCACGCGTCTTCGAAGGCTAAGATCTCCCCCCCTGACTTTCTGCGGAAACACGCTGGGGAGCCGACTGCTCATCGAGGTCCTTGGCGGAGCCCTGCGCACCAACCTTATCAACGCAAGTATGGTCGAGGCGTGACAGATACGAGGTGCAGTGCGTGTGAAGAAGAAACTATTCGCCGCTTGCTGCTGTTCTGCAAGGCGCTGCTACCAACGACTCTTGTAAACTCTGGCATCGAGAAGGCACTTGGTTTCAGCAATGAGCAGAGCCATGTAATCTGCTCTAAGCGGAGGCTCCAGTACTAGTGGAAGTTTCGTCAATGAGAACACTATGCGAGACAAGGAAAGCGGGCCCTGTTTGGCCAGGGGTGCAAGACGATTCAGTCGGGCCCGTGAAATCCGTTGGTTTGATTATTCTTGATCAAATAACCCTACGTCCTCGTGATGGTTGGACACATGTGCAAACGTCTTCCTTTTTTGTTTCCTTTTTTTCCCTCCAGTTCTTGTCGTGTCTACTTAGAGACTCTCGTTTCCAAGAAATTGCGCTGCCAAATATACGCACACACGCATACGTGCACCTCGATAATGCCAGGCGCGTCACCGAGCAACAGCGTGCGTAGCCGAATGGTTACCGCGCTTGACTATCGCGCAGAAGATCTGCGTTCGAATCCCGGTAGCGGAGTGTTCTGTTATTTATTCTTCTGCTTGTCGTCGTCGCAAGTCCGACAACTTTCTCGTCTCATAGAGTTACGAATGCTCTACGCGCCGTACGTTGCTCGCGCCGGTACGTGCTCCGTGTGGCGAGCCGGAGTGAGTCTCGCTCCAGCGAGACTCACTCTGTTACTTACTCATCCTGCTGTTACGCCGACTTTGACGCCCACGACGCTCTGTTATCTTCAGTTCACTTTTCTTTCGGGCACAAGTTCCCCCATTAAACGTTTCAGTTTCCTCAGCTATTCTTTACATCGTTACCTCGTCATTCGTGACATTTTTGTGGGGGTGCGAGGTAACCACTCGGCCACGCACGTTCTCGCTCGGCGACGCGCGTGGCATTATAAGGGAGGAAATCAATAATTATGAATTTAAGAATTTAAGATACGAGTTGGTCAACAAAAAATATCAACTTCGAACAACTTGAAACGTATGAAAGGATTCGAATACGTTTTCTTCTGCAATTAAATTTAAAATAAATAAAATGCGTTAGAAAGTTTCAAAGAATCAAATTCGCGATCGACGGCTTGTATTTCTTGTTAATCGAAGACGTAATATTTCTGCGTTAGACTGCGGAGTGCGTCTCGTGACGTTGCAGACAACATGCTTGAATAGTAATTATTTTACACTAAATAATATAACCGTAATTGATTGCTTTCTCGAGTAACTTGTAATCGTAATTAACTGCGTTTGAACGAAAGTAATTGTAGAATTAAACAACTTCTCAGCCTCAGTAATTGCAAAATGTAATGACAATTACAACAATCTTTTAAAAATGCTTCGTCATACTGGAGCTGCTTTGTTCTTAGTTATTGACAGGCGAAAATACGCTTGACGTCTGCCCCATTTCCTTCTGTCAATTCGTGGCGCTTTAAAAGAGCCAAAACCGCACCAGCTGGCGCCGACCTATTTTGACAGACAGCTGAAATTCTGCCAAATCCACAGCACCAGTAAAGGGAAAGAAAGAAGGAATGCTCCACATAAAGCGAGAGCGCCTTACGTTATCAGGATCAGTGGCGTACCAACTTGTTTTTAAGTTGGGGGGGGGGGGGGGCACTTAGAAACAAGTTACCGGCTAGTGTTTGCTCTGCCCAGAGGCGGCTGTTTCAGGGGGGGGGGGGGGGGGAAACACATGCCTTGCCCCCACCACTTGCCCCCCGGTTGGTACACCCATGATCAGGATAGAACGAAACAATAAAAAAAAATGATGTGATGGGGATTTGTACATTGAATTATTGAATACCTCACATGACTCATGTCGGCCGTTTTCAGAAAAGTAAAAATTGAGCCCCCATTAGACTCCTTGAGAACCGAGTAACACAAATAATAACATTTACTTTTAACCGCAGAGATAAAAGATACACCAACAATGTTGGTAGGATTCCACAATAATAAAAACAACCCACTTGGTTTATGCTTACAACTCCCGTTAAACCTGCGATAATGTAGGCGAAACACAGGCGCACAAATATGGCGGACGTAATATTTCGTACACTAATCCTCCACGGTGAGATAAGAAATGAACACGTTTAAGCGCTGAAAAGCGCTATCACATTAAAATCGTTCAAATCGGGTAGCTGTCACAGGAAAGTAAGTGAGAAGTAAATAATTGTAATGAGTTACTTTCTGGAAGTAAATAATTGTGATGAATTACTTTCTGGAAGTAAATCATTGTAAGAATGCCTTGTGAAAGTGAATAATTGAAATTAATTACTTTTTGAAATAATTTTAACGAATTACTTTTTGCGCCCCAGGTAATTCGAATTGTAATTAGCTGCTTTTGTTGCAACTGAACGACATTTCTGAAATCATTTATCCAAGTATGTCGCGGAGATGAGGCTGATTCCCCAGCGCCAACAGGCCTACGCAGAGTAAGCCCTCGGAGGCCAAGCGGATAGGAGGATGTACCCACCTTGGCGAGGACGCGCACGAACTGCTTCTCGAACTCGTCCGAGGAAGGGACGTCCCCCGGGGGTGCGGGCCCCGGCGCCGGCGGCCCGACGCCTCCCCCGAGGACTCCCAGGCCCGTGCAGAACTCCTTGCGGTGCCGCAGCCTCGGCGAGAAGTTGTACCGTTCGATGTGGTCCAGCTCCACTTTGTCCGAGTCCAGCTGGGACGGCGGGCTCGGAGGCTGCCGACACGACTTGGACTCCTGGGTGGAGTCGTGGTTCTGGCACGAGGCGGAGACAGCGAAACCCGTTTCAGAAGACGAATACTTTTTTTTTCCTCTTTTTTCGGACGTGGCATGCACGGTTTCTAAAATCCCGGATGAGCGCCTACTCACGGCGAAGAGATACAAGGGGGAAATCTGAGGTGGGTGATCTTACGGGAAGGGGGATTCTAAATAATGATAAGCTTTCGCGATGAAAACCGCGTTTGATTTGGGAGTCAGGGCACAAAGCGAAGTTGAATACCGATGTCGGAAAATACTTGAAAATTCCTGAACTTCTTTTAGTTTCTCGATGAGAGAACGCACATATTAATTATTTTGGTAGTCCGGCGGCCGAGAGCGTCAGCTCACCGCAGCTCGGAGCACGTGAAGCGGAAGCCCGTGTTGCAGAACCCAGGGACCCCGGGCTCGACCCCACCCCTGACAGTTTTCATACGAATGAACATTGTACAATTGCACCGTCGTGCGTTCCAGAACGTATCACCTATCACTACCGCGTGATGCACGTTAAAAACTCCGGCATAGCGGTCGTAAACGACACTGCAGGTTACATTTCTCATCAACAAATGTGACCGCGGATGCGTCTTTGGGCGGACTAGCTTCCCGCTGCCTAAATGTTTATACAACTCATTATTTGCTTAGCTCTTTCAAGCACACGAACGAACAAATAGTGTTTACATTTTATATACACGCATAGCAGGCGGGACGGGAGATCAAACAACGCCGTTTTTGTTTCTATATAATTGTTTCACCACGCGAACTATGAACATATAGGTCCTTAAGGAACCGTTAGCTTCCGGAAAGACGGGTTGGTACAACGTTTGCACGCGGTTGTGAAAGGAAATAAACTTGGTTTACTCTGTGTGGTGGAACGGCGCGTTCGCTACTCTGCGTCAAGACGGTCGAGCAAAGTGAAGGAGCTCCTTGTACTGCTTGCCCCGAGAAATAGCCGCCGAAGGAAACATGCAAACGAACGTAGTTACTGTAGTCCACCTCAAGAGTTCGGAGCAGGGCAGTGACCAGGGGGGCTAAGGACGAAAGCCGAACGCGGTAAACCGTAGCGGTGGCACCGAGAGACAGAACGAGAAAGAAAGCGACAGAGAAGCGAAGAAAAGAGCAGACGTTAGGTTAAGCGTGTTCGTCTTGCCTCGACGAGTTGAGTTGTTCGAGTGCTCGACACGGTTATTTATTTTATTAAGCTAGAAAAAAAAAAAAAAAAAAACACCATAAATACAGCCCTTGCAAGTGATGCTTTCCTTCTTCCTACTTTACCCCAAGCGTCTCCAGCAATATGGTGCCATTCGGACGATCGATGGCCGCATCTGTGCTCCGCCATTCCGAAGCGACCGAAATGCGTGGGATTTGTCCATCTAGATTAGTATACTACTGCCATGGCTGTGACAGGTACGAGTGCGAGCACGGGTCTTCAAATGAGGTTCCTTGTGATTAATTTATTTTTCTATGTACACAAACGCCAACTTATGGCAGCGTTGGAATTTCCGTGATTGCCACAGGGCAGACATGTACAAGTTACAAAAAAAAAGAAGTAATTATGTTAAATTACTGAGTATTGGCCTCAAAAACAATTTAAGTAGAGTAGAAATTACTCAAATGAAAAAGTAATTGAGAAAATTACTAATTACCGTAAAAAAGTAGCGAATTACTTTTTAAGTTATTTTTGAAGTTACTTTTATATGTTTCTATAGTAAAAAGAAAGTACATAGGTTTTGTTTGATCCGTTAGTGAAATTGTGCTAGCCAAAAATAAATCGGCTTGTTTTTTCACAGAAACGCTTTAATAGCTGGTTCTGCTTCTGCGTGCCTAATTGTTTTGTACTCCCTCGTTTGTTTGGTCAATGATGTACAGCAAATGTATCTGTTCTACTTTGAGGTTTAGCCCTGCCTGAGCATGATTTTTTTAGACAGTGCATGCTTGTTTACAGTGTTGCGTAAAGTACATCCTAAAAGTACTTGAAGTAAAGTACAAAGTAAACGAGACGCTATGTACTTCAAGTAGAGTAGTAAGTATACACCGGGTGCAATGCACATGAAGTAACCTACTATAAGAACCATATATTTCAAGGTAAAGTACTACTATTTTTAACACAATCTTTCATGATGTTTTTTTAAGTAATCGGAGGTGCATTAGTTTTTACGAAAATGGCAGCAATTATTGTCAAATCGCTGACGAGCGATTTGACACAATCAGCTTATAAGGCACTTATTTGTGTCGGTTTTATTTGTGTCGGTCTTCATTCAAAGAAATAAGCAGATGACGTCTCGAAAGAGCGCGTTTTCACACGACAATACCGCCATTTTTTTGTTTTCAAATTCGACGAATGTACATTGAAGTCGGGAGTTTTACTTTCCCTGGAAGGTACAAGTACATGCTCAGAGAATGTACTTCAAGTGAAGTACAAGTTTTCTAAACAGTAGTACTTTAAGTACCATAAACTTAGAGTACTTTCCAACACTGCTTGTTTATCATTTTTATAAAAAAAGCGTTTTGGGAACTATTAAGGTTTCTCGAACGATCTTTGAATCTTCTAAGATGTGCATGTTCTCAGTTTTAGGAGGGAAAGCAACGCAAAAAAGTCCTTTGGCGTTGCCATTTACCACCGCGATTCTTCGCGTACAGCACAAACTACGGGAGCACTAGATGAGCTTAAGAGCAGGTGCTGCATTTTGTTGCCTCCTTTGAGTGAGGATGCAGTGTGTGCACCTCCCGTAGTGGGCGAGAGTTTCTACGCTGAGGAGAAGCAGAGACCAGCCCTTTCTTCAAGTGGGTCAAGTCTCTTTGAGCTTCGGGACACAAAGAAGCGCCAGTCTTTGGCGCTTATTCCGTAGTTACTCGGCCTCTCTTGCGTCGTGTCTGTTCGCTCCTCGCGCCTCGTAGCGGTGCGTAAAAATTTTAGGGGGGTTTCGAACTCTCCAAATTATTTTCTTCTCCCCCCCTTTCCTACGCCACATGCTTCTCCCTCGTTGGAAATATCAGCTGATCGTCCATCTTATCTCCTTTGTGCGGAATGTTTGTTGATAGGCAAAACAACCACTGAAATTTGTGAGTAATTGGTAATTTTAGTAGAAGTTACTCAAAAAAGTAATTAAAGTAAACTACTAATTACCGAAATAAAAATGCAACTGAAAGTTACTACACTACTAAGAAAAGTAGTTAAACTACAGTAACTTGAGTAGAGTTGTTCAACTAGGTACAAGTCTGCCAGTGGGTGACACGTATTTATTTATTTATTTATTTGCATACTCTCAACGCCCGGTGGCATTACAGAGAGGAGTGGTACTATACAGTATAAAATCGTTGGCTAATTTCTTGAAGTCTTAATCTTGAGAAGGGTGAAAAATCTTGCGGTATTGCAAAGCGGACTTTGCGATAACAAAAAAAAGGAGTGTTGTCCCATCTAGAGACGGTCACAGTTTGTTATGCGTTAAAAAGCATGGTGGCAGAAAGAACATGCTATTTCCCGGTTTCCACACTCCCAGCCGTGATTGCTAGTTTGTCGGCATTTTTGAAAGACGGCCGAACTCTTAAGTATAAACGACCTTGAGAAAGTCTTATACAAAACGCGAATAAAAACCGATAAATAATAGTAATAAAAAAACCAACGTATACGCGCTATTTGGCAGGGCAGCAGCGTAACATCATCTTCACCGCCGACAACACTAAATTTTTATTTTTGAAGTGTCAAGCGCCGAGGAAGAAGATATTCTTTAAACTTCAGACTGCTCATATCCCCCCCCCCTCTCTCTCTCTCTCTCTCTCTATATATATATATATATATAAAACCTCGTAAAAAAAAAAAAAACACAAAAAAAAAAACCACGTCGCGTTTGACAATGTGACGCCAAAAATACCCCCGTCCTCCAGGCTGTGAGAGTCGTGTTTTCTGCCATCGCGGGTTTCTCTGTTCTTTGTGTGCCGTACACAGCCTGCCGAGAACTTGGAAACTTTTGCAGAGTTTCGCGCCTTCAAACACGTCGTGTCGTGTCTTCAAAGACGTCGTTTAGATCAATTATTTTACTGTTTAATGCTTCAGCCGCCACGCTCTTTAAGGGTTTGTTGAACAAGATTAAATTAGCGCTAGCGTGGATCCCTCACTGAAATGCTTCACATTTATGAACACTTAGTTCGTAAGTTTGGCTAGTTTCGCAGTCAGAACAAAAGAGTCCGTTGGATCCTCGATCACCCGCCCCCCCCTAACAAACAAACAAACAAACAAACAAACAAACAAACAAACAAACAAACAAACGCACGCACGCACAAAAGAGAGACTGTGTGCTTGCTGACTTCCTTTATAAACATGCAATGAGTCGGTCACTGCGAATGTCAGTAAGAGGAGTTCAGCAAAAACAAGGCCCAAATACGTCTTTTCAAAGGCCTTATCTGCTGACGTCTCAGAGAGTCAGAATTCTAGTGCAGAATCTATTTTCCACCCAAAACGTTTTCTAGGCCTTAAAATTCACGAGGTTCCTTCCGTAGATAGGCTGATTAGCGATATGCCTTGCAGCTCGAGCGTATAACCAAAGACGCGATACTTCCATTAATATAGGTCCGCTTACTTTGTTTGACTCATTTGTATCGATATGCTACTTGAAATTGAGCTCATGGTGATAGCAAACGTTTTTTTCCGCCACAAAAAGGTGTCCAATTAAGATAGCGGATTGACGCCAAGTGACGACTACGGGGAAACGTTCCTGTCTTGGGAGCAAGCCGTGTTCGCTTGGAGCGTCGGACGTCGGGGATGTCCTCTGCAAGCCGTATTCACGCAAAAGAGAAATTCCGGAAATTTCTCCTCGGTGCGCGCATCACGCGACAAAAAAATCAGGCTTTTGAAATGCGGCGCTGTGCTGTGAGCTCCGCGGCGGAGTGAGGGAAGGAGGCTCGGGAGGAACAAACAATCACTGTTCGGCTGCGGATCAGTTTGCTTCTATCGAACGTTTGCCATTCAACGCTTTCGTGTCAAATGTCGAGACTGCTAAATTCGTCTGCGGTGCTGTAAAATAATAGAAACAGCTAAATTGAGCTACAAACCGCGCGCTGACATCCCTCCACACTGCACCTCGCCGGTGTGAACGACGAAGCATGAGGAGGGGAATTCTGACCGCTGTCGACGCCACGCACACCAGTTCACGTTTTTTTTTCCACGCGTGAATATCACTTTAGAGAGGCGTTAATCGTGCGGCACGTACAGTCATAGGATTTATGAGAGGGAATACGCGAGAGCGTGTCACTTGGCACAGGCAGAGCAATCTAGCGGGCGCTCTGCGCGACGTCGCGTGTGTGGCGATGTTTCTTCAAAACCCGAAGGCCACCCCCGGCTCTAGTTGGCCCGACGTTTGTTGCCGAAAGCGCGGGTGCCTTTCACAATAAAGGTGCGCGTGTGAAAGCGCTGCTTTGTCGTTTAAGGCCGGTTCCAGCATGCAGTGGAGTGCTGATACGGCGCTGTTCTCGTGTCGTCAGCTATACTTATCGTCTGCCATGAGCAACATTTTTGACGGTGCGATACGAATCTGGTGAACGCTGCCGTCAGGACGCGCTTAGCGCAAAGTCGGTGTTGTGCTTACAGCACTCCGCTGTATGTGTGAACAGACCTTAAAAAGGACAGTGCAACAATATTAAGTTGGAATGTCTTTTTCTCACTTTACACGCAAATGCATCCGAAACAAAATGGCCACCTGTTTTGTTCCGAACGCTTTTGTTTTGTTCCATTTATTTGTTCCGAACTCTTTTGTTTTTTGTTTCGTTTTTTATCTGGGGCGCTTATTTACATTTATAGTTCAAATCGTAAATCAATGTCCCTACTTTTTGTATAATATGTATTAAGTTATGTTAACCTTTTAATTAACGTGTTTTGTGCATGTTTATTACCCTGTTTGTTTTTCCTGCATCTCCGTCACCATCGGCCAAGCTCTCGGGGCCCGGACCTCGTCAAGCCAACGAAGATTGGCTTTTTTGTTCGCGGCTCCGGCGTCTGTACTTGCAGATGCAAATAAATGATTTGATTTGATTTGATTCTCCCGGCACGAGCTCTTAGCACAATAATATTTTTGCAAGCAACTTTTTAAGAATTGTTTTTTAGAAAGCGCGTGTTGTGAACGTCTGGTACTACAAAACCCATAAGTATAAAGCGGGTTATTAAAGCTCTAGCTTAAACACTTCAAAACTCGTCTCTGAACTAAAGAAAACGTTTTACTGATGCACAGGTGGTTGTTGTTAGCTTCCGATAACTGGAGTGACTTTGGTATACGTTTATATGTCGCTTGAATTGTTGAACGCCTATAGTCAATGCCCCTTCACAACTCTTGCTGTTTGAATCTCACATTTTCTGTGCCGTATACGATGGATACTATTGAGCTCACAGTGTGAAGTGCTTTTGAGATATGTTGCATGTATTATCTCAATAAGGTCTAAAAAAAAATGAAAGTCGCTTACAATTCCCTGTAACACCGAATTAGAGCGCAGCTCTTGAGGAGGAGGAGGAAAAGGTACTGAGGGGGCGTATTGCGGCGCGCGCTCGTGGCCTAACGGTTATCGCGCGTGCCTTCCGCGCAGAAAGCCAGGGTTCGGTTCCCGGCCGCGCAGACGCATTTTTGTTAATTCTAACGTAATGTTCTGGTAAATTCGAGAAGCGTGTTGGGGGCTGATTCGAGGTTAGAATGTTCGACACGCCAAACCTTCTACGCCGATTGTTCCAGAAGCCCACGCGTCTACATAAGGGGCTCCGCGTGGCAAGCCGGAGTCAGTTTCGCCCCAGCGTTGACTCTGCTGTCACGCCGACTTCGACGCCCGCGACGCTATGCTTTATTCTGTTCCCTTTTTTTTTATTTTTTGGGCACAAGTTCGCCCCAATAAACGTTTAGTTTTTCCAGTTATTATCACCTCATCGCTTGTCATTCGTGACAGTATACCCCTCCTCCCTCCTCCTCATCCTGCCTGCTACTCCTCCCTCCGAGCGGCGTCGTGAGGTCACGTGACCCTTGTTACGTCGCGTGACCCTTGTGACCTCACGGGGTCACGTTACGTCATCGGGGTCACGTGATGTCCCGGGGGTCACGTGACCTCACGGGGGTCACGTGACCTAGCGGGGGTCACGTGACCTAGCGGGGGTCACGTGTTCCTCACGGGGGTCACGTGTTCCTCACGGTTACGCCGACGGCGACGGCGATGGCGACGACTACGCCGCTCAAGCTGGAAACGGGCACCTAAGAGCTGCGCTCTGAAAAAATGCTTTTGCGTGGTTTAGTTGGTAACGCGCCCGCTCGACACGCAGTGGACCCGGGTTTGATTCCAGCTGGCGGCGGGCGATAATTTTTAAGGATTCGGCAATATCGACAACAATTACAACAGCGATGGGAAGAGTCCATAACAGCTATTGCGCTAATAATTGGTACAGACAATGGTTATTTGACCTCGTCTCTAAAACAACCTCCCCAAAGGCTCTTTTAAATAGTGAACACCCTCCAAAGAGTGTTTTCGCCTCAATTTACCGTTGTACTTTCTTACACCCTACTTTACGATTAAAATGGATGCACCACTCAGAATAAAGGTGCTGAAAAAATGTGTAGTCACGAATGTAAGCATCTGGAACACGCTTTTTATACCTTTGAGGGTGTAACATTTTTTTGTAGTGTGTATATACAGCCTCGTTGAAGGTTACGAATTACCGAATGTAGAAAACTGACCGCATAAAAGGTGCTATTAATAATAATAAAAAAATAGTGTAAAAGCGATATATTTTTATGAATCGATTAAACCGACATACAAAGAATTAGGCTTTATAAGGAACCCAGTTGGACGCTCACGTCCGGTGTCGGGCTTTCTGGTGCGCGCCGTCGCCCTCTCCCGTTTTTTTTTTTTGCGACGACACGAAGGGTGCACAAACTGATGCGACGAAGCGTCGTGCGGGGAGATTCATCTAGTGCAGGTGTTAGGCCACGCCACGTTTCGGCCGGTCGCCGCGAGGCGCGCCAGACTCGCGCGCACTCACTTTTCTCTGCGCATCGTCGCCGTGAGGCGCGCAGCAGCCGACGAGGAACAGCTTGGCAAGGAAGCCCAGGACGAGCCTGCGCAGGCTCCGGGGCACCTCGACTCCCCTCGCTCCGCGGTGGTGCAGGCTGAGCGTGAGCACGCTGAGCCCCGTCGTGCACGCCACCACGCAGATTGTCAGGCCGTAGTAGACGCCTGCAGGCCACAAAGGGACGCGCATTTAGCCGACACGTGTGAAAGGCGGCCCTCGATTCAACACCTCCGAGGTAACAAGGGCCATAGACTCGATTTTCAACGCTATCTAGAAAACTTCGTGGCGGAGATCAGTGTAATCGAGAACCACTAACCATTCAATTTTGCAAAGATATGAAGCATGTAGTAAGCGCGAGGATGCGCCTAAATTTACACTCGTGCAGCAGGCGCAACCCTGGCGGTGCGATGAGGCGGATGATAGTAATTTCATCCCCGTTTTCGGACCGCACGTCGAGCACCCCGACTACCGCAATGGCCTCTGCTGTGACGTCGATGCGAGCCAGGGACACAGCGCGCACTCACTGATGAGCGGTAGCATGGTCCCTCCGGGCGGCAGGCTGTCCCTGACGACCACGAGGAAGACGGCCACGCAGAGCAGCGTGTTGATGCCCAGGGTGACTTTCTCCCCGGACTCGCAAGGCACGAAGAAGCTGAGGAGCGCGAGGGCGTTCACCAGCAGGCACGGCAGCACCAGGTGGAACAGGTGGAAGCCCGGGCGCCGCCGCAGGCGCACGGAGTACGTGACGTCGCGGTGCGCCGCCGGCGCCCCGAGGCCGCCGCCGTCGTCCGAGCTGCCTGAGGGGGTCGTGCTCGCGCCGCCGGCGTCCGTCGCCGACTGGTGCACGCGCTGGCTCACGCTGAGCCCGACCAGCTCGAACTCCCCGTGGCGCTGGAACCGGGTAAGGGCTTCCGCCGTCCGCGACGGTTCGAGCTCCACCTGAGAGACGGCCGGAGGACAAGGGTCGAATGGAGGCAGCGCCAACGATGATAGATGCCGGAAGTATACAAATATTTGCAGAACTATCTGTAGACGTATTTATAGGAGTATCTATAAACCTTGGACAGTACAGAGTGCTTAATTAAGTACGCCCACCACTTACGTCAGACTCGTTAGGGCTGGTTCACAAGTTTGCGTTTGACTGGGATCGACTGCGCTACGACCGCACGCGACTGGAGAGCCTCTATTGAAGAGAGGGTCCATCTGAGACCGTGGGGAGCGTTTGCAACTTAATGGCGGACACCTCCTGCGGCGATCAAATGGGCATGCGCAGCATTTTCCCGTGGCGAGGAGGAAAGCAGACGGAAAGGCGGAGACGTTTGCAGGCGATCAACGCTTGCATCACCTCCTCGCAGCTCGCATTGCAAATGCGGCCCATAAACCACGTGACCCCGAGCAACCAATTGGAAACTCTGTAATGAAGGCTCTCTACACGTGACATTGGCAGACTGGCGCCATATATCAGTAGCCTCGGCACACTTCAGACCTGCGGCGTACAACTAGACTTTGTATTTTTCGAGGTCGAATCTCCGCATTATATGCGAGAACTTAATTCTTATAACGTTACTGTAATTATTTCTAGACCAGAGTGAAAATATAATGCGTCAAAAATAGTAAAATGTAGAGGTCGATCGGAACTGTTTCAAAGCAACACTATAGATAGCGCCAACGTGCAGCGTGTTCTCTGGTCGTAAATGGCTAAGAGCGAACACTGCGCACTCGAGCTCGCTCAAGCGAAAATGTGTGAAGCAGCGTTCACGGGGAGTTTACGATTACGGCCGACGTCCATCTACGTATCTGCGACAGATAGCGCAGTTCAGTATACCGCACCTTTCTGTTAAAGCTTTGAGAATGAACAGCCCTCGGTTGATTTAGCTTGAAACCTTTGACGGAAGGATGAAGCTTCTATAACTGTCACGTTAAGTTGATTTTAGTGAATTTGATTACCGTAAAATCTCGAACCAACTCCCCCTCCAGAAAGATCGCTCACCTCGTACGGGCAACATCAGCGCGAAATTCCAGGAAAGTGTTTGCGTGTCTCGTGTATTGTCCTCGCGTTTTGTGCAGTTTATGCCTTATATCTATCCCTTCTATCTCTCCGCGATGGGTGGGCGTTCATTCGGGATTTTGAACTATGCGCAAACTTGTGTCGCAATTGCTTCTGCTGCTTTGCCTCGTTTGATTTGATGACCATTCCCGCTACTGATGGGGAACGAGGGTGCCATGTCAAATAGTTTCGTGTCATTTTACTGTACTTCACTGAATCTGTACCCCCAGATCTAGCGGACAAGCGGGCGCAGGCTTTGGACCCCAGTTGGGTTTCTCGCCTGTTGGACATCGTAGGTCCAAGAGACGAAGTGGAGGTGGCAGTTGTGCACGTCGAAGGGGAAGTAGTGCAGCTCCAGCTGGCAGGCGCTGGTGAGGACCGCCTGGACCGGGAAGGCCACCTCGCCCGTCCACTTCACGATCACGTTGCTGCTCAGCTGGCCGGACCGGTAGTCGCCCCGGGCACTGCGCGCAGCCATCGCAGAGTGCGTCGGTGCGCCGGCTCGGACACGACGCGGTGCCCTTCCAACATGGCACCGCTCTTGAGCGTGCGCGGACTTTCTTCGCCGGACGGAAATGACGGTTTTGAACGACTCTCGGCCCTCTTTAAAATGATAATAAAGCTCCCGTCATGCGGCTTAGATCAGTTGCCCTTGTTCAAAGCCGTTTTACAAGGGCAAGCGGGAATTTTACCCAAGCCTTGGACGCTTAATAGCGTTAAAGAAAAAGGATGCGGTGAAAAAACGAAAATTTGTCCGTAAAAAGAAACAACAACAGCAACCACAACAACAACAACAAAAACGGGCGCACGAAAACACAGTAGCATGCGTGTCTATCTGGAACGGTTCCGGCAAGCATTCCAAATAAACCAAGTTAAATTTTGAAGATAATAAATAAATAATAATAATAAAAAAACAAGAACCCCACATAAACAATTGCCAGCTTTGGTGGACGTATGGGATGAAATTCTCGTAATAATTTAAGAGTGGAAAAAGAAATACTAAAACGAACGGTGGGCTAACCGGTGCGTCACATGGCGTTTCGAGAAGTGCGATGTAGTTTTACCTCTTGGGTTGTTCAGAAAGCTCTTAAGTGTTTTGTTTAACGCCAAGAGTCACGTGTCTCACATTTATTTATACGATGCGTTTTTTAGTGTTTCTAAAATACTACGTGTCAGGCACGTAACCAGGGGGGGGGGGGGGGGGGGGGGGCCCATGGGGCCTGCCCCCGCCCCCCCCCCCCCCCCCCCCCCCCCCCGAAATCTTCCGTTTTGCTGGGACCTCCTTTCCCCCCTCCCCCACATACAGCATTTTGCCATAGGCGGGCGCCCCCCGAAACAAAATCCTGGCTACGTGCCTGCTACATGTTATGATGTAAATTCACCCCGGGAGCATCGCGCTCCGTGGAAAGCAAATTCTGCCTCTCGGTGGCACAAAGACGGTTTCCGCAAGGGCTGGTTCGGGCAGAGCCTTTTATACTGAGAGAGTTTAGCCTACTTAGGGAGATTTTGACAGTCTGGCAACCACAGCAGCGTAGTCTGACAACCAAGGAATGACTACTTCCGTCCACCATTTTGGGGCTCTGACTCATGGGAATTTTACACATATTCTCAGGAATAAAGAAGAGAAAAAAGTAACGCCATTTTGTGTTATCGTGAAATCTGCTAGTTCTAGCGGGCAACAAGTTCCGCCCATTGGCCAAACTCTCTCAGTAAAAACGGCTCTGGGTTCGGGTATATGCGTCTTCGTGAGGCCACCGGCGTTATGACTCCTCACGCTTCACGACGACACGTCGCGCGGACCTCGGTCGCTGTAGCAACTCGCAGTCTCATCTTATCATAAGCGAGCGTATAGGCAATCGGCTGTGCTCGAAAGTATAGACGTCTGAACCAAGCTTAAAATCTCCGAACGTGTTATAATTCTTACATTCTAGAAACGGCGTGGGAGTTCACTTTCCTACACAACACCTATACAGACTGCAATCAATTACTGCGAACAACCGAAGAATCGCAGCAAATAACGAAATCAGATTACGATTAGACAAAAATCATGGCGCAGGGACAGCCGGCATGATGATTGTCCCTGTGCACATTGCATTGTTTAGATCTTCGTCATTTGCTGAGATCCTTGCGTTGTTCGCCATGATTGTCTGTGTCTGTGTTCTGTATGAAAGTGAACAGACCGACAGCTTTAAGAGTGCTCTTTGGTTCTCTACTTGTATTGGCGGTGCTACTGCTTTGTCATACCGACCGCGCGGCTTTGAGATTGTGTTATACATGGTACGCGCTACGCGGAGGGCTCAGCACTGCGCCATGCATCCTGATAAATTTCTTTCCCCGAACGCCACAAACACTCATTGCACTGCATACCGCAGACGAGTACCGTCACCTGTATAGTCGAATACAGGTTAGGAATGCAGCAAATAAGAAACCACCACGTGCAGGCCACGGCGTCGAATCGCTCCACGGACCAACCAGAACAGGCTGTATGTAACCTGGACGAGTTATGTGAAGTGAGCCTGACGTGCACCTCGGTAGCGGACCATTAGTATTCATAGCCGAAGAATGGTGGATTGAGGTGATAAGGGTGTGAGAGGAGCTCCTGGCGCATTTTTTTAGCCCGTATCCGAATGCACAGCAGGTGGCCACCTGACCGGCAATCGACCACACGTCACGTGAGTGCCAATTGGTGGCCAACGTGCATTACACGAACTACACGTGTAATATAGTCCTTCATCCTTATCTCGATGGCCCGTTAGGGTTCTTTTAATATTTCGCCCAGAAACATTTGCACCAAAATCTCAAGTTACAACGGAATAGCGTTATCTCGAATATTATCCCTCGTCGCTAAAATTGCTCCTTCACGAACACAACTATGTCCACCCATCAAAGTAAATGAATTCCGTCGCAAGATTAAAAATTTATTTTTTAAGAGTTGTAATATAGTTCACCGCTATATAGGGCTATAGCCGACACCAACAACAGCAACGGCGACGATGCATTACACCGAGATGATTAGATTTCAGGAAATGTCTGACGGCGACGGCAGTGCAGAACCAAAATTACACGTCTTATAGATGGATGTCCTGAGAGCTACGAAAAAACAAACAAACAAAGGAAACAAATCTATCCTCGGCGTACCGGACCCCCCCATTTTCCTATGCGTACATATACTAAGTCCTATGTTCACCACTACCCATTAAATAGAAGAGTAAAAAATGAATATTTTACTTAGCGCAAGTTTCTGAGATGCATAATCATTTTGTCTCGTCGGCTAAGAAAGGCAAACATACTATGTGAAATAGGGCTATAACAAAATTTCTCATAACGTACGCCTAGATAGAAACGCATTTGCTCGGCTTTTTTCTTTGATTCTTGGTGTGAGAACACCATATGGGGATCCGCCGCGGTAACCTTTTCTTTTCTCTTCTGTAGCTATATTTTTTATTATGTGCCATACAAGTTTTGTATAAGTGTGCTGAGAAACTCCGGCTAACAATATATATCTATATATAAAAAAGAAACAAGTGATAAAATTTAGGAAACAAAATGGCGGTCACAATACCCCACTCCACCATTTTTTGTTCATAGAAGCAATTAAATTATATTCTGTTAGCATTTTACTAACCCTATAATGCTGAGTGAAAAAAAAAATTAACTGGGAAAATGTCAACATTCAATATAAAAAAAAAAAATGTCTTTACTTTCTTTTTTACGCAAAACGTTCTGCTTTTTTACCATGGTGCACCTGCAGTGCTCTATTCCGTCAGCCAAATTCAGCTCAGAAAATGTATGCGAGCACTACGTCTCCCGAACTACGCTTTGTCCGTCGGCAAATATTCGGGTTGATTTTCGTTTCCAATTAGTGTCACGTTCAATATTGAAGAACTTTATAACAATGCTCATGAACAAGCTTGCTAACCAAGACGCGTTTCTCTAACGGACATTGGAAGCACGAGCTGGCGATAAAGCACACGACAGCTTGTTCCTGCCAATGATAGATGGATATATTTCTTGGCAGTTTGATTTTCTAGACTAGGGACCTCCAAACTTTTTGGCTAAGGGGCCGGATTAGGAATATGTCGCTGTCTCAAGGGCCAAAAAAAGAAAAAAAGAAGTTGAATACATAAACTTAAATAAGCATTAAAAATGATTCTTAGAGTGAGTGTTTATAAGCCCTAAGGTGAATGAATACACATATACCTTTCCAATGTTTACAAAATCACAGTCCAGCGTGCGATCTTCAGAGTCCAGCAAGTGCGTGTTCGTCGCTGCAGAAAGCGAGCAAAGCACGCACCATACGCGCGTACACTCAAAATGGCACTGACCACACGCTCTTTTTTGGAAAGGTCTCTACTTCCATTTTAAAGCTAATATTTAGCTAATTATAATATTACACTACAATCGTGACAAAAAACAAACAAAACAATTCTCCTAATTTCGGCACATTCGCGCAGTGGAAAAGTCTGAATAAAATGATAAAACTAAGGCTGACAATATGCAATAGTGTGATAGAGGACACTAAGCATATTTACTCCCATGAGAACGCGAAGGAATTGTAACATATTTACACAGACACGAAGACGGTGACTACCGAATGGGGGCAATTCAATACAAAATATAGCGAGAGAACCCGCGTTACGATACAGTTTCTCTCTTTTTTTTTCTGGTTTCTTCGTTTGGCCATTTGAAGTGCGTCGCTGCGCAGTTTCTTTACGCGTACTTTTTGCGGCAGTAGCTGCGGGTCTGCTGGAAGTGGGCCGGCCCGAAGAGTAACGCGGGCTGGATCCGGCCCGCGGGCCGGGGTTTGGAGACCCCGCCCCGCCCATGTTTCATTACAAGGATAACATAAATAAAATTAAAAAAAGAGTGGGAATGGTTAAAGTATAACAGCGACCACAATAGCAACAAAACATGCCTTTCGTGTAAGCCTCGTCAAAAATACCAGTCATCTGCATTAAGTCCTTGTTTTGAACTCTTTTCGACCATTGAAAGGCACAAAGAAAGAACGCATGGACGAACCTGATCTCGCCACATCACCGTGTTACTCCGCATGATAAAGTCCGTCTGCTATAATAACCGTCACAATGGCAGGGAAGCGTCTGCTGAATGGACGCAGACGCGAACGCAGGCTCTGAAGCCAACACAATAGAGAGTCTTAGGGAACTGTTTTTGCACATCCTATACGATACGATGGGTGCCCCGGTAGGAACTGCGCATTTGCGAGTCTTCTGCAGTAGCGCATGCGCAGTTCGTACCGGAGGGCCCATAGTACCGTATCGGACGTGCAAACCGGTTTCCTAAAACTCTCTACTATATACGCTTCCAAAACGAAAGCGCTACGCCCGGTCGCTCCACACTTCGCTACGCTGGGAGAAAATGGATTATCTCAGGCTCGAGCTTCTGGCAAGCTTCGTTGCAACCGCCAAGGGTTGACCAGATGACTGCTTCCAACTCTGGACGGTGA